CACGAAGAGCACTGTGTCTTCAGTCCGAGCGGCTTATCACCGGGCTGTTTCCGCAAACACAGTGATTGGAACCTGGAGGGAGCCAAGCCTTATGACATTGCTTGCCATTGTGCACAACTCAGAGCGGCAAGCAGTGGGGTTTGTGTGGAACATGGCTGATCTCGGCACAGTTGAGGAGCTGGCATGTAACAATAACTGTACCCTTACACTCCTGGCCGAGTTGCTTGCGGATGCTTGCATCGGCATCCATGCCTTGCACCAGTAAGTGACATTTTACCTCCTCGGGATGGATTGTACGGCAGGGTGCCTCAATTACCGATTGTATCATATTGCAGGCGGGGGTGGATCCACAGAGACCTCAAGCCTGCAAACTTGCTCGTCATCACTGACTGTACTGGACAGCTGCGGTGCAAGGTAGCAGACTATGACCTTGCTGTTGAAGCAGGAGTCCACTCTGGTGCGGTAAGATTGTATACTAGAGGGGGTCGGCCGTGGCATGTAACTGGATCTGAAACCCAAGCAATCAACCTGGTACAGGCGGGCACAGTTGGCTACAGGCCACCGGAGGGTGCCCCAAAGGCGACGGCCAAGCACTCCTTCGCCTTCGACTACTACAGGCACGTATACTGTGCTTGCCGTTGGGTGCTGCCGTGTGCTTGCCGTTCGGTGTTTGTGGCCATGACCCGTCATGCGATGAAGTGTTATCTATCACCTCCAATTGCCAATTGTGCTGTAGCTTTGGGGCATGCATCGTCGCCATCCTTTTCAACGAAATGAAGAATCCAGTCAAGGTGATCAACCAGATCCATGCGTCGACCAGTAACCACACAGAGGAAAACCTGATCAACACAGCCGTGCATGTGTTCGATGGCAAGGCACCACGGTGTCTCATTCACAAGCTGCTGGAGGAGTCGAGGTCCTTGACGTACAATTCCGCCGTCCGGCGCACGTCCTGTTTGAGCCTTGCAAAGTTGTCTGGGGGCATTCGTGCCGTTGTGTCCCAGCTGGACTGATTATTTTGTTGGTTATGATATCGGTCAGGATTACAGACTTCCATGAATTGTCCGGTTCTTTGGTATGTTATCTTGCCCGGGGCCGCGAACTGCCCTGTGTCGTGTACAGCCGTGCATGTGTTCGATGGCAAGGCACCACGGTGTCTCATTCACAAGCTGCTGGAGGAGTCGAGGTCCTTGACGTACAATTCCGCCGTCCGGTGCACGTCCTGTTTGAGCCTTGCAAAGTTGTCTGGGGGCATTCGTGCCGTTGTGTCCCAGCTGGACTGATTATTTTGTTGGTTATGATATCGGTCAGGATTACGGACTTCCATGAATTGTCCGGTTCTTTGGTATGTTATCTTGCCCGCTCCGTCCATCACGTGATGAAAACCGACGGCTCGCAGGCCAGGCTGTAAAAAGACCCCACTGCATGACCTGCCCAGGGCCGCGAACTCCCCTGTGTCACGGACAGCCTCCCAGGCCGATCCAGATAAATGTCCCCACTGACTCCCACACACAGCAGCACGAACAGCCAGCACAGGACGGACATAACCCGAGTACGGTATGCCGATCCGATCCCAGAATTTGCAGCGCATGTACAAGCCATCATCCGTCCATCACGTGATGAAAACCGACGGCTCGCAGGCCAGGCTGTAAAAAGACCCCACTGCATGACCTGCCCAGGGCCGCGAACTCCCCTGTGTCGCGGACAGCCTCCCAGGCCGATCCAGATAAATGTCCCCACTGACTCCCACACACAGCAGCACGAACAGCCAGCACAGGACGGACATAACCCGAGTACGGTATGCCGATCCGATCCCAGAATTTGCAGCGCACGTACAAGCCATCATCCGTCCATCACGTGATGAAAACCGACGGCTCGCAGGCCAGGCTGTAAAAAGACCCCACTGCATGACCTGCCCAGGGCCGCGAACTCCCCTGTGTCGCGGACAGCCTCCCAGGCCGATCCAGATAAATGTCCCCACTGACTCCCACACACAGCAGCACGAACAGCCAGCACAGGACGGACATAACCCGAGTACGGTATGCCGATCCGATCCCAGAATTTGCAGCGCACGTACAAGCCATCATCCGTCCATCACGTGATGAAAACCGACGGCTCGCAGGCCAGGCTGTAAAAAGACCCCACTGCATGACCTGCCCAGGGCCACGAACTCCCCTGTGTCGCGGACAGCCTCCCAGGCCGATCCAGATAAATGTCCCCACTGACTCCCACACACAGCAGCACGAACAGCCAGCACAGGACGGACATAACCCGAGTACGGTATGCCGATCCGATCCCAGAATTTGCAGCGCACGTACAAGCCATCATCCGTCCATCACG